AAACCGAGACCCGGATCAGCCCAAAGTAAAAATAAGTATATACTTAAAAAAAGTCACCTTTGAGAAAATCCAGAGAGAAGCGGCAGATCAGAAGAAAAGATTTGCATGTTAACTTTCTAGTAAAAGATCTGTCTCTATAAAATGCAAAGGACTCTTACAAGAATGATAAGCCAAGACACCAGTGTTTAAAATGGGCAAAATATTTGCATCGATCAGCTAGTAAAGAGTCCGCCTGCAATGTGGGAGACCTGGGTTCGATCCCTGGGTCAGGAAGATCCCCTGGAGAAGGGAAAGGCTGCCCACTCCAGTATTCTGGCCTGGAGAAACCCATGGACTGTATAGTCCATGCGGTCACAAAGAGTCCGACACGACTGAGTGACTTGCACTTTCACCTTGCACATTCACCCACCGAAAAAGATTGTGCAGGAGAAGATACTTGACACGATTAAGTCATTATCTAAATGCAAATTAAGACCGCAGTGAGGTACCGCCTCACCCCCACTAGGATGCCTACAATCAAACAGATAATAGCAGGTCTTGATTAAGAGGTGGAGGATTTGGAACCCACATACACTGCTGATGGGAATATACCATGATTTAGCTGATTTGGAAAACAATCTAGTTTTTAGACTGTTAAACATGAATGAGCCCTGAGAAGTAGCAGTTCCACTCCTCCATATCCACTTAAGAAAAATTAAAATATGCATCCATAAAAATATTGCATGTAAATGGTTCATGAGCTTCCCTAGTAGCTTAGGGGTTAAAAAAAAAAAAACCTGCCTGAACTGCCTGGTAATCCAAGAGGTGCAGGTTTGATCCCTGCATTGGGAAGATCTTCTATGGCAGGAAATGGCAGCCCGCTCCGGTATTCTTTACTGGGGAATCCCATGGACAGAGGAGCCTGGTAGACTACAGTCCGTGGTATTGCAAAGTGTTGGACTTGACTTAGCAACTAAACCACCACCAGCGACTGTTCATAGCAGAGTAATTCAGACTGGCCACCGCATGGAACCAGGGCAAGCGTTAGTCAACAGAGGAGTGAGTAAGCAGGACGTGGTACATCCACAGAGTAGACTCTTACTCGTCCGTACAAACGAGGAATGAAATACTGCTGCACGTTGCCACGTGAATGGACTTCGAAAACGATACCCCAAGTGCACGAAGCCAGACAGAAAGGAATACATATTCTGTGAAAACACTTGCAGGGAATGCACCAAAATGGCAAATCTCCACTATGTCATTCATTGACTAAGAGAGACTGATGTTAGAAATATTGGATACCTGCAGTGGACACAGGCAATCATTTTGGGGTGATGGAAATATCCTCAAATCAGATTACGCTGTGTGTAACAGGCTACTGTGTTCCGTAGCTCAGCTGTGTCCGATTTGTTGTGACATTTTGGACTGTGGCCCATTGGGCTCCTCTGTCCATGAGATTCCCCAGGCAACAATCCTGGAATGGGTTGCCATTTCCTCCCTCAAAAGATCTTCCCGACCCACGCATCGAACCCACGTCTCCTGCACTGGCAGGTGGATTCTTTACCACTCGCGCAACCTGGGAAGCCAAGTGTATGTTGCTGGTTGAACAACTCCATATATATGTACACACACGCACACAGACACAAATCCTTCAATTTGACACCTTGGTGAGTTGATTTTATGATTGAGAATTATACCTCTCTAGAGCCCTTACAAATCATACTTGGGAGATCAAAAAGAATTTGCTGAAGCCTCGAAGACACTACCCTGGATTGCCACTTAATCAGTGATATGACTAGGTTGTGTGACTTCTAAAAACATTGCAAATCTTCAGAGCATTTTGCTCCACCCTTGTGGAGGGGGTGGGGATAGTTTCCTACAATACTGCCTCTCATCCTTCCCCAGGAAAGAATTCCAGATTCCTGCAATTTCACGCACTGACGGGGAGCCTGGAGACTTTGAGAACTGGAGCTTGAGAAGAAACTCTGGCATTTAACTCAGCCCAGACCTCGCAGAGCGGCCTCTGTGTGGGTTTCAGCCAGGCCAGGGGCTGTGCGCCTGAGGTTTCAGCTGTGGCTGGGAAGACAAAGGAGTCTTCACAAGAGGAAAATCCAGAAGAAGGCAGGGATATAAGGGCAGACTCATGGGAAAGGCAGAGGGCAGGTGTGGGGTCCTACTTACAGACCTTTCTCAAGGGAGATAGTCAGACTTCACGAGGAACGTATTTTTCTGGGAAGGAATCGGCGGCGTCAAATAACACATTCAGTCCCTTAATCCATTCCACGTCTCTTGAAAGTGAAAGTTGCTCAGTCGTGTCCGACTCTCGGCAACCCCATGGGCTATACAGTCTGAGGAATTCCTTAGGTCAGAATACTGGAGTGGGTGGCCTTTCCCTTCTCCAGGGGATCTTTCCAACCCAGGGATCGAATCCAGGTCTCCCACATTGCAGGTGGATTCTTCACCAACTGAGCCACCAGGGAAACCCACACCTTTATTTTTCTAGTGCCTTTTCTTTTTCAATGAAAGAAGTGATGTGTTTTTTTCCTAAAAAAACTTAGAAGATCTTCAAAAAATTGAAATTTTGATCAGAAATGCAAAGGAAATTATTTCTAGCCTCCACATAGACTATGTGTGTAAGAAAGGCATTTCTTAGGCTTCTCTGGTGCTTCAGTCATTAAGACTGTTCTTCCACTGCAAGAGACACAGGTTCCATCTCAGGTTCAGGAACTAAGATTCTGTAAGGTGCATGGAGCAGTCAAAAAAGCAAAGTATTTCTTACAGTCTTCTTAACAACATGTAGCCATAAATTCAGCCCATGAGATAGCTTCGAAAGAAGTTTTATACTGATAAACTGTGAACGGAACAATGCAGAAGACAATGGGGCTTCTTTGGAGAAGGCTGTTTATTTAAGTTTGTTTTAAGATCTTTCATTGCAGGGGAATTCTTGGACGTGAATTGACTTCCATGTTAAGCTGATGGCTATAATAGGTTGACTCATCAGAGTCATCAGTTCCGTTCCTCAGTTGTGTCCCGACTCTTTGCGACCCCATGGACTGCAGCACGCCAGGCCTCCCTGTCCATCACCAACTCCCAGAGTTTACTCCAACTCATGTCCATTGAGTTGGTGATGCCATCCAACCATCTCATCCTCTGTCGTCCCCTTCCCTTCCTGCCTTCCATCTTTCCCAGCATCAGGGTCTTTTCAGATGAGTCAGTTCTTCCCCTCAGGTGGCCAAAGGACTGGAGTTTCAGCTTCAGCATCAGTCCTTCCAATGAACACTGGAACATTTCCTAGAAGACTCCATTCTACCTTCACGTAGTTAAGGTGAAAACCTGCTCACAGGCTTGAGTTTCAAGGGGGCCACTGCTGTCCGCAGCTTTCCTCAGTGACTTTATGTGGGTAGCTTGAAATTGTCTCCAGTGGGGAGTATTTGAATCTCAAAAAATCAGCAAGCAGAAGGGGTCAGGTTTCCACCTTCCCTCCCATTTCTGCTTGTTTAATCCATGTGATATTTCCAATGCTCAACCCTTCTTGAGGGACGAAAACATCAACTTCAGATCTTGGTTTCAAAACACGTTGTCGTCCCCCTGAGTTCGGAACAACTGTAGCTGTTTTTTCAGATACACGTCTTGTGGGTGACAGTGACTAGGTACATCCGGGGAGGAACATAAAGGGCAAGTGTGAATGCCTCTGTTGTGTCCAACTCTGGGCGACCCCATGGACTGTAGCCCACCAGCCTCCTCTTTCCGTGGAATTCTCTAGGCAAGAATACTGGAGGGGGTTGCTATTCCCTTCTCCAGGGGATCTTCCCAACCCAGGGATCAAACCCGGGTCTCCCACATTGTGGGTAGGTTCTTTACCCTCCGAGCTACCAGGGAAGCCAGGAAGGAAGGTAAAGACCACTTTTCACTGTTTGCAGCCATTCAAATTTTCCAGAACTAGCATATGCGTCCTAGTGGGCCAGGTCTGTCTGTAAAAAGAAGACGGTTGAGCGAATGGAATAAGTCAGTGATAGTCAATGTTTTAGCTTCTTGTTTCTTAAAAATATAGAAACCAAAAAGGCACATTGCAGACGGAGAGGCCTTGTTCTGGGTTTTTGTTTTTGTTTGTTTTTGAGGGGTATTTGGTGGCATTAAGGGAACCTCTGTGTTCATTTTGCTGACAAGGAAATTTCAAGGTTGTTCATATTTCATGTTGTCCAGGTAGGTGACTTTATTTATTTCTTACTTTTTTTTTTTTTTAACAAATACCAATAACCCTCAAGCAATATTTAATAAGTATTTGAAACACAGAAAAACATGATGTATAGTGTTTTGTCTTGATTTCAGAAACGCTTGTTGAAAGTGGTAGTTTACAGTGGACCAAAGGAATCAATAATGTGCACTGTGCTCTAGCTACTAGTGACAAGTGCGCATTCATGATTTAAATAAATTGTAGTGACTGTCTGATGTTTATCAGGAATGGTATGCTTTTTTATGTTCTTATGCATGAAACTAATGTGAAGTTTAAGATATTTTGATTCATCTTTCATGTTTACTGTTTACTGTGTTGATTCTTACTGTATAGAATTTCCTAAGCACAGTGTATCACTGACATTTCAAAAATGTATCTAGATTATTACGTGTTAAAATTAGAGGAATATTTCATATGCATTTCTTTTTAAAATTTGGGAAACTTTAAAAATAATTTTCTTTTCTTTTTTTTTTTACAACTCACATTACTTTTTTTTTTTTTTTGCAGTAGTATCATTTTAACCCTCAAACTGCATTTTCACTGGGTATCTAATTTTTTTTGCAAGTAACATTTTGAATTTGTTCTTCTTGACATATTTATGTTTATATGCATTTTGCATCTCCCTAGTTCATGTTTTTGAAATCAGATGTAACAGATTTCAGCTTTTTGTATGATATTTTTTTTTTCTTTTACTGCATAGTATCTCTCTTCTGAATTTTTTTGCAAACCTGTTGTTTTTGAATTCTCTTTTTTTTCCCCTTTATTTTCCTTCTCAATATGACCCCAGGAGCCAACTCAAAGAGAAACGCTGATGATATAACCAGTAATGACCGTGGTGAAGATGAAGGTATTTTTTTGTTTTTTTTCAAAGCTCGATCTTGATGCATGATTTTATATATATATTTTTTTCTTTTTTCCATTTCAACCTGTTTTTCCTCCCCTTATCTGAAGAGAGTGCACTTCTGGGTGCTTCCTTATTTTCTTCTTGTGTGGGGACTACTATCATTTTTAATGACTATGTAAACCCCCTGGAAGAATGTATATCCATGTTTCTCAATATGAAGTGAGTAAGAAAATACCATTTACAAGGAAGCTCACTGTTCTCTTTTTCCTAAGTTTTTATTTTTCTTTTTTTTTTTCTGCTTGATCACAAGAAGATAAAGTGAAATTTTAAAACATGCATGTATGCGTTCTTTTCTTTCTTCCAAATGTTATTTTGTAATTCCATGTTGTGTTTTGGAGCTTTGGTCTTGTTGGGGTCTTCCGTGGACACCAAAGACAGCCCAGTAGGACTTTTTTGGGTGGGGCTGGCATTTCCATCTTTGTTTTTACGATTGCTTCCCCCAGATGTACTGATTCCAAAGTAGGGTTTTCAAAGCATCTTCTCTGGCTCACAGGAAAACACATGAAAAAGTGTCTTGAAGGGAATTTGTTGTTTCTCTCTGAAGTGCCTTTTGGAAGCTTTAAAGGAAAAAAAAAAAAGTAGAGGGTATAGCAAAGAATTGAAAAAAAAAAAAAAGGCTGAAAAGCTACATCTTTGCATCTCTGTTTTCACACCACGGCTGCTCTCAGAACTTTCTTTTTTTTCCCCTCCTAAAAATGTTTAGTTGCTATGGAGAGTTTCTTTTTGAAGGCTCTCAAATTGTTGGACAGATTACCCACTAGAACGATTTTTTTTTTTTTTTAAAGATGGAAGATAAGGCAGCATCTAAACCATCATTAGCACGTGGTATCTTCTTCCTTCAGCGGAAAAAATGGTTTAGAAGAAAAGAAACAAAGAGCTTAAAATCAGCCTTTGCAGGCTCGGGCAGGTTGGGTCTGCGTCTGTGTGTTTAGGAGCTCAGTCGTGTCTGACTCTTTGGGACCCCATGGACTGTAGCCTGCCAGGCTCCTCTGTCCATGGGATTTCCCAGGCAAGAATACTGAAGTGGGTTCCCATTTCCTTCTCCAGGGGCCCCTCCCGACCCAGGGATCCAACCTCTTATATTCCATTGGCAGGAGGATTCTTTACCCTCCAATCTATCAAGAAAGCCCAAGGCAAACTGGCGTGGATTTACGACTATTTAACTTAAAGGGATGAGCGCCCTCAATGTTCCTGTCGTTCTCTAGCTGAAACACAGTTTAAAGTGGACCCGAGACCCATCCTTGCTGGGAAGCAAAAGTTCCCTCAAAGCGCCTTTTTATCACTTGCTTGGTTTTCCCACCCTCTTAGGCTTCTTTCATAAATCAGCGGGTCTCTGAGAAGAGCTATCTCACGGTTGCCTTCTCACCCACTGTTCTCTCAATATGACTATTATTTAATATTTTGTGAACCCGCGTTCACAGCATTCTCGTTGCTTTCAGTATTCACCTTAGAAGTTTCCTCTGATTACTTTGGACCCACGACAGCTGCCCCGAGTCATCAGCTACCCTGTCTTTGTCCGGCCCCAGACCACCTGTAATTTCATCCGTATCCTTATATAACTAATTACAGGTATAATTTGCATCTTGTACCCTTGTATCCTTTTACCGTCTTATTCCCTTTTTTATCACTGGCACCTGTTTTCACAATCCCGCCAGCTACCTGTTATATTAAAATGCTTTCACCTTTTCCTTAAATACCAAGGAACTGTTATTTTTTTTCTTTTTCCCCTAATGTTGAATGAATATGACATCTGATTATTCCTTCCCCAGGCTCACAAGAAGCTTCTTGTGTGTGTCTCGGAAGGTAATAGCCGTTAGCCTAACGAATTTATTTATTTATTTTTCTGAGGGGACCCCTTAAAGCAGTCTGAAAAATGTCAACTTTTTTCTTTCCCGTAATGCAGCCAAGAAAGGTAACATAAATAAGAATCCAAACAGCAAATCAGTGTCCAGAGAGACTCGTGGATGGTGTAAAATATCACACCGCATACGGACGGTGATTGATTAAACAGCTCCACATCGCATGTGATGAGTGAGCGCCTCGCAGGGGGCTCCATGGTGAAGAATATGCCTGCCATTGCAGGAGACGAAGGTTCAGTCCCTGGGTCGGGAAGGTCCTCTGGAGGAGGGGATGCCAACCCACTCCAGCATCCTTGCCTGGAGAATCCCATGGACGGAGGAGTCTGGTGGGCTACGGTCCATGGGGTCGCAAAGAGTCAGACACGACTGAGCGTTATTGAGTGAAAGATTCAGAAAGGATTTTTACCTCCTCCTTAGAGTTTACATGAGAATATAGTATTCTTTTGTTGTGGGTTAAGTGTCTACAGACAGATGGGCGGCTTGACACTTTTTCCTGTACTTGACTGTGACACAGGGTTCTTTGGCCTCCTGGAGGGTGTCTGGTAGCATCCAGGAGACGGTTTTCAGACGGCGCTCATAATTCATTTTATGAGCAGCCTCCATCCACCTGTCGGTTCATTTCCTTGAAATTCATTCCTGATCATTCAAACATGTCTCCATAAATTAGGCTAAAAAAAAAAAAGTTTTCAAGAAAAAAAAAAAGAAAATACACGTGCATGGATATGTTTGCTTTTTTCTGCATAACATGCATCCATCACAGGCTCAGTCCTGTCCGACTTGCTGCGACCCCATGGACGGTAGACCTTCCAGTCTCCTCTATCCATGGGATTCTCCAGGCAAGAATACTGGAGTGGGTTGCTATTTGATAACATGCAGGTATTTAAATGACACAGCTGTATATGTTTATACATACAGAAGTTCACAGAAAGAATGACAATCGAGGTCAGGATTCTTAAACACTACATTTAAGCTCAAGGGATGGTGAACACCAAAGAAGTTACTTGATCACAACTTTCGAGAAAGCAGACATATGCTGTCCAAATTTCTCTTGTCGCAGACCATTGCAAAGGAGGCTTTTCACATCACTGTTAAAGAAATGATGGCTAAGGATACTCTGGTTACAGATCACAATGGGAATTTTTATTCCATGTGGAAATGAGCAGGATTGCAACCATTTCATCTTGAGATTGCAGTCTTATGCCATCTTATTTCAGCTCACGTCTCTTTCACAGTTTTTTTGTTTTGTCACTTCAGTTAGCATTTTCTTGCAAACAGTCATTTAGAGAAAAGATACTTGCTTGGGCACCTTTCTTTGTTTTTCCATGTTTCTGTTCTGTTGACCATTTTTAACCATTTTTTCTTTTTGTCATAATGTATGGAGAGCTTGAGGTTTCACTACTAGTATTATTTTCTCATTGTTAGGTCGAAAGTGAGTCTCTAAGCTCACTTTTGACCGAAGAGGGCAGTTATGGCAAAAAGTGATAAATTTGAAGCTGACTTTGCACTAACTTAGGTAATTAATGTTTTAGTAGATACTATGTATGTGTGTTAGTCACTCTTTGGTGTCTGACTCTTTGTGAGTCCATGGACTGTAGCCCACCAGGCTCCTCTGTCCATGGGATTCTCCAGGCAAGAATACTGGAGTGGGTGGCCATTCCCTCTTCCAGGGGCTCTTGACAACCCGGGGATGAAACCCGGGTCTCCTGCATTGCAGACAAATTCTTTACCACTAACAGACGTCGTGGGCTTCTTCAGAGCATGTCCCCTTCTAGGGTTTGATTACTATCTAGGGAAAAAGTGATTGATTCATCTCACTGGTTAAATCTGTAGTGTCATAGGTACATATGGAAACATACCCACGCATACAAATTCATTCCAATGCCCGCATCATTTCTTTGAGTAGAAAATATAACAGCATCGACCTTTATCCTGAAGCCATCTTAAATGTTGTTCAGTCGCTCAGTCGTGTCCGACTCTCTGCGACGCCATGGACTGCAGCACGCCAGGCTTCCCTGTCCTTCCGCGCCTCCCAGAGTTTGCTCAGATTCATCTCTGTCGAGTCCATGATGCCATCTGACCATCTTAACCGAGGTATCCCTAATTCAAGAAAAGGCCATGCGATGGATTCCCACCCCAAACTAGGGAAAAGCAACTCAGCGTCTTTCAGTTCAGTCTCGGTTAATGAGTGTGATTTTTTTTTTTTTTTTCCTTCCCTTACTTGGCTCTTTCTTGCAGACATCCATGATCAGAACAGCAAGAAGCCGGTGATGGTGTACATCCACGGCGGGTCCTACATGGAGGGCACGGGCAACATGATCGACGGGAGCATCCTGGCCAGCTATGGCAATGTCATCGTCATCACCATCAACTACCGCCTGGGCATCCTGGGTGAGTGGGTGCCTGTGGAGGGCGAGCAAGCTCTGCTTCTTGTTCTATTGGGGGGGGGGGGCTCGTCGCTTCCACTCATGTTACTGCAGTTCCTATGAATTTCTGCTACAAACCTCACTGCATGCTCCAAGGTGCATCTGTTCGGAAACTTTCACGTGGTACCGCCGGTTTTCTTTGTGTCACGCTATGATACATTTGTTCCGTAACTTTCACATTTCTTCTTTTTCTTCATTTCTGTGACTTTTCACATTTTCATCCAGAGACTTCACTCCCTTGGACCCTCCTCGGTCTCATCAGCACACGGGAGTCCCTGACAGAATTTTGCTTCTTGTTTTGTGGGGTTTGTTGCTTCCACTGACATTACTCCGATGCCCAGGAATTTTGTGCTCCAAAACTCACTTCGTGCTTCAGGATACATTCCTTCCGTGACTTTCCAGTAGCACCATTCATTTTCCTTTCGTTTAACTTTCACGTTTTCATCCAGTGGTTTCGTTTCCTTGAAGCCTCCTCTAACCGATTCAGCCTCCCGGGCCATCGAATAAACTTGGGATTTTATGCAAAGTGCTTTTCTTTCTCTGGGCTTGGCTGACATAAGCTTGTCGGGTGAACGCAGTTGGGTGCCGTCTGATAAAGCGTCCGGTAACAGGTGATAACTCGGTAACGTGGACAATGGACCATACATGTGAGCTTTTGTGATTTTGTGGCCGTGTTGATCATGAGCTGGAAACTCTTTCACTTACTCTCTTAATGGATATTCTGTATCTAATGGATCTTGAAGAGGAGAGGCGGTAGGTGGTCACATGACTGTTGCATTTTCCTGTGATGAAATACTCTTATTTGAATTTTGTAACTTGATGATTTTTCATTTTGTGTAAATTTTGCGATTTACTGTGAGAAGACCTTGGCTAAGAGCATCGGAATTCAAGAGCAGCAGTCTGTTGTTTTGGTTTTAAATTCATTTTCACCAACAGTATGGTTGCAAAAAGAAAAATAGCTTTTTGATGGTAATATTTTGAGGCTTATCTTCTGTGGTTTTGCCTGTTCTTGGTCAGTTCATGAATAATATCCATGGTTTATGTAACCACACTTATTTTCAAGGCAAAAATGCATTCAGTGGGCTTCCCTGGTGGTCTAGTGGTTGAGACTCTGAGCTTTCAGTGCAAGGGGTACACGTTCAATGCATGGTCAGGGAACTAAGATTCTGCAAGCCTCGTAGCAAGGCAGAGGAACAAAAAATGCATTGAGATGGTGCAGAAAATTGGATTTGTAACAGTGTGGCCCTGAGAATGAAATCTGTGTGTCATAGGATGGTTATGGTAAAAACAAAAAACAACAACAACAAAAAACTGGACTTATGGAATTGTGTCAAACAAGAAAACATAAAAAATGTTTTCTCCAGATACGCAAGTATCACCAAGAATATTTTATTTTTGACTTGATGTTTGAATTTTCTTGTGAGTGTTTCATTTCATTCACCAGTAAAACAGTTATGTATAGAAGACCCCAGGGAAGTGGGACAGCTGTTGAAGTGACTTTCTAATTGAAAAATGCAAGATGTCTGCACACTTGTGCCTTTTGGAACATCCATAGCATACTTGAAATTTGAGGTTTTTAAAATGGAAGCAGCGACAGACATTATTTATTTGTCTTATTGTCTTGGACTCCAAAATCACTGCAGATGGTGACTGCAGCCGTGAAATTAAAAGACACGTGTTCCTTGGAAGAAAAGCTATGACCAACCTAGTCAGCATATTAAAGAGCAGAGACATTACTTTGCCAACAAAGGTCCGTCTAGTCAAAGGTATTTAGATTTCTCCAATAGTCATGTATGGATGTGAAAGTTGGACTATAAAGAAGGTTGGGCACCAGAGAATTGATGCTTTGGAACTGTGGTTTTGGAGAAGACTCTTGAGAGTCCCTTGGACTGCAAGGAGATCCAACCAGTCTGTCCTAAAGGAGATCAGTCCTGGGTGTGCACTGGAGGACTAATGCGGAAGCTGCAACTGCAGTCCTTTGGCCACCTGATGGGAAGAGCTGACTCACTGGGAAAGACTGAGGGTGGGAGAAGTGGGCGACAGAGGATGAGATGGTAGACAGCATCACTTAGCGTCTAGAGCCTTCTCGTTTCGTGATTTTTATTTCCTTTTCTTTTCTCACATGGATGCTCCGAGCCAAATCCTTCGAGTCATTTCCGTTCATTTCGAAGACCGTGGATCGCATGCCCCTCTGAGTATTTTTTTGTTTGTTTGTTTCCGAATCCTCTGGGGAGTTGCCTTGGCTACTGGTGTTTGAGACAGGAAGTGGTGTTCCGTGATCTCTCACAAAAGGTCCATTCTCAGGACGAGGTGGGCAGAGGAAGCCGGGGACCACAGCATGCCCCCTGGCAGCGCTTTCAAAGAGCGCAGTGTGGGGGTCTGTACGGAGCGTCACCAGCTCCTGCTGCCGCTGGCTCTGGGCAAGCTCGCGCTTTGCAGGAATAGCAAAACGTTGTCTTGCCTGATCGCCGTGGCGCTGATTCGACTTAAAAGGTAGATTTCAAGAGGAATCGTCGCCTCTCCCCTCTTTAACGCACAGCTGGTATTAAGCAACTTTACAGGGTGATCTCTTAGCTGTTTGGCCCGTTTTTTTTTTTTTTAAATCTGGAACAATTTTGTGGGAATTGCACACACCTTCTTTTCTTTTTCTTTTCTCCCCCTTTTTTAAAAAAGAAAAGAAAGGGAAAAAAGCTCCCTTTTCTAACTTTCCTCATTTGAACCATTTTAAGTTTACCTTCTGCTGCTGAGAGTCGGAAGAAACAAATCTTGGGGAGGGTAACCGAGAAGCTGCGAGTCCCGGCAAGGAAATGAAAGAAGCAATTTAGCATCCCCGAGACAGTCTATTTACATTCCGTGAGTGAGTTCGTGTGAAGCCCAGTACCACAGACCCCCCTTTATCTGAAGGTGCGAAAGTGGGCCAGCTCGGCCGATTGTACAGGGCGATGGATTTCATTCAAGCGTGACTCGGTCAATCTTTCTCAGACCTCTTGCGTGGAAAACCGGGAGGTGGTCGTTGACTTCTTTGCTTGCAAGGAAAATTGCTATTATCATTCTCTGAAAATATTTCGAACCATTGGCATGCAGGTTTTTTTTTTTTAAATGACTCAATGAAATGGTACAACATGCGCTGCGGTGATCATCTGTATTAGCGCTTTTGACAGGAGTGGATTCTTTTTTTTTACCAAAGCGTAGAAATCATCATTTGAATTTTTTTTTTTTAAGAGTCGTACATGCCAAAATGCTGTTTTTCTGCCTAAGGGATGGAAGAGCATTGCTTGAGATTATTCAGTTCAGTTCAGTTGCTTAGTCGTGTCCAAATCTTTGCGACCCCGTGGACTGCAGCACTCCAGGCTTCCCTGTCCATCACCAGCTCCCGGAGTTTACCCAAACTCATGTCCATGGAGTCGGTGATGCCAACCAACCATCTCATGCTCTGTCGTCCCCTTCTCCTCCTGCCCTCAATCTTTCCCAGCATCAGGGTCTTTTCCAGTGAGTCAGCTCTTCGCATCAGGTGGCCAAGGTATTGGAGTTTCAGCATCAGTCCTTCCAATGAATATTCATTGTTGATTTCCTTTAGGATGGACTGATTGGACCTCCTTGCAGTCCAAGGGACTCTCAAGAGTCTTCTCCAACACTACAGTTCAAAAGCATCAATTCTTCGGTGCTCAGCTTTCTTTATAGAAAGAATATATATACATTACATCTTTTCTTTTTTCAGAATAACAAATGCTGTTTTCCTACCCGCAAAGAGAAGTTTTGAAAAATGAATGACAGTCAGTAGGAACACAGCACAGTGGCATGGGATAAAAATGAAGTGGGACTTTTCTCTGCACTGGTTGTCTGTGATGTGACATTGAGAACAGCCAGCTAACATTTTCTGAATCTGTGTGAAAGGTGGTTCTGCTCTCTCCCTTGGGAGGTTATTGTGCATACCATACAACCATGCAGTGGGTTTCTGTACCTGAGGTTTCACAGCCCAGGAATTGTTTGCTGTTGTTCAGCCATTCGATTGACTCTCTGTGACCCCATGGACTGCAGCACACCAGGCTTCCTTGTCCTTCACCATCTCCCAGAGTTTGGTCAAACTCATGTCCACTGAGTCGGTGATGCTAGTGACCATTAAGTCCAGTCACTGAATAATTTCGAGTGTTATTAATAGCCTTGGACATCTTATTAACATCACTGTTGAGCCACTGGAGGAAAAAAAAAAAACCCTGCAATTAGCCAAAACGTAATGTAGTATCTATCCAACACCACCTGAATTTCCATTTATCATTCTTTTGAAAAACAAGGATAAGGCGCTTGTAATAGGAGATAAATGAGATGATCCCCACACTTGGTTTTCAAACAATGAATATTTTCTTTCATCAGACCTGCCTCACGCAAACGTTTCTTAGCCAGTGAGCACCTAATTTATTATCTAATCTAGGACTCCTTGGGAAATGTTAATAATGCTGCTGGGATTACAGTGTATTTTTATATTCCTGAAAGCAGGTCCTTGATTGCTGATGCAATTTCCTTAAAATCACTACTGGTGATTCACCGTGATGCATGCTCATGTGATATGGGCTCCAGCCATGATGTTGGAAAAAGCCAGGCTCTTGTTGCAATAGATCTAAGGCTTGGTCCACCCATCCAGTGTCTAACCTCTGAAGTCCATTTAGTTGCATTCTTACTGTCTTTGACCCGTACATGGAATTAAGACCATTGACCCAAAGAATGACCTCATCAGATTTCTCACCTGACAAGTATCCTATGGTCTGATGAAATGTCACCCGTGTAGTTTTATATAACTGCCTCTTTTCAAGGATCCACAGAACATCAGAAACACCTGCTCGCTTTTCATGTGCAGACAAGCAATTTCCATCTGGGCTACTCACTGGTTTCCTTCTATTAGAACATGCCGGATATTTCTCTGCTGAAAAATGTCAGTTTCCTATTTAGCTGGTACGTACATTTCTCTTT